GAATAGATTAAACTCCTGCCCAGAAGAGAAAGCACGGCCGAGGGAGAGAAAAAGAGGGAGAGGCGACAGGAGGGAAGAGACGCCAGAGACGATGTTAGGCGACACACGCAGTAAGCGCCAGACCCTGAGGTCACGCGAGCGATTCAACTCATCGAATCCTGCACTCTTCTTCGTCATTCCTTCGCTACTAATCCTTAATCACCAGCTCCCGAGGCCCGAATTATGAAATAAGAATTAACTCACGATCATAATCTCATGGATTATTGATCATAAAAAAAATTGACTCGATCGTCTGATCACGGACCATCTCGCATGTGGATTCCTCTCGCGGTGGTTTGATTTCTTTCTACTAGTCCGTCGCTTTCCGCCATGACCTGCCCTGCCACAGTGGCCTGATTCTGGCGTGAAACCGGTTTCCCTGGTCCTTTCCCCCAACCGTCTTATTATCATTTTGACCCCTTTCATTGGCTCTTTCCTGATTCATGAACATGGATCGATATCCGGAGTGTTGAACTACTGATTCGGAATCGGGACGAGACGTCTGCCGACGATAACTAAAGATGTTGGGTCAGTAATGATCGACACTGGACCATCATGAATTCTCGGGAAATGCAGGAGCGCCCCGACCGTTCGCAACTTCGCACATCGTCCATATTGCCTCTTGCTGACAACCCCGGCAGTGAGCATTAAGCCCTGCAGCTGCACCCAGGATAGTTCTCGGATCATCAATGCTTAGGGTGGCCTCATCCTGAACGACCACTCCGGTTTGCCGATCAACCGATCCCGACATTCATCACCGAGGGGAAACGGGCAGTAGTAGCCCCCAAAGCAAACAAATTGGCTTCAACTTCATGAGTCCCTAATGGAGCAGGAGGGGTCGCTTAATGAATCAAAATTGCTCTATGATCCATCTGGGAAATAATGGGGTACCGAGTTTGATCGAAGGATTAGTCTCTGCTGGATTAATCAAACCCTCTAGCGGCGACGGTTGTGTCACGCCGCTACAAGTGTCGACTGTCGAGTGTCGGCTTTCCACTCGCTGTCAATACCAGTACCATAGAATAATTAGCATGACGGACAAGCTCCAGAGTGACCCAGACTGGCAGACAGACCCGATTATCTCCACCGACCGTCATCGGGATCCACTGACGGACGGCATATGCAATGGATTCGGAATCGAGCCAACGGAGGAGTTCGTGGCCTCCCGACTACTGCAAATATCCTACGATATCTGCAGAACTAGTGATCATGGCAGGGTTAGCACGTCCAAAACCCACACCTAGCGGAGCTATATGAGGCCATCATATAGATCGGTATATCTATCGTCTCCGTCCCCGTCCTCCTCAATTCTGATCTATCAATCCTCTCCTCCGTGTGCATCGATATTCGATCTAAGCAGGACGGTGGATCTGATCGACTTGTCGTATCGGGATTTAGGAGAAGGTTAGCCCGCGGACCTTCCCATGTCTGTCTGGGAACTCGGAGGGGGAGGGGGGGGGGTCCGGATGGGTGTCTCTTCTCTTGAAGCTCCTTTGCCAAGTCTGGGTCTGCCGGACTCGGAAGAGTATCGTTTTTTTCCGACTGGACCGGATGCTTTTCCTAGAGAATGGCCTTGCTATGTCCGCCTGCCGTAGATCCCAATGTGCACAGCTTATCACCTACTCGGTCGAGATCACATCGCTCCTAACTTTCCTGGCCAGACGTGACGGCACTTGCAGCGAATGCAGTGACATGGCTAGCCTTCTGCACAATTCCCCAGTTCGATTGGCTCCACAATGGGTATGAGTCTCATCTTGTCTCGCCCGAAACAGATTGAGCCCACGTTGGCTGCCCTCTGAACTACCCGGCTACCAGTCCTTACTCCGTACTATTACAATCTACTGTAAACGTAAATTGACTCATGGCTTGGCTTTATCCGGAACCTTTGGATGTTTCATCACTGCTATAATTCGTAGGGCAGAGGGCTCATCATCGGACATGGAACTACTCAGGTACACCGTACACAGTATGTTCATCCGATCATCCACACCATGCAGCACCAGGGGATCCTGTGTAATTAGACACATTCCACATCGTGCTGCACCATTGAGATCTGCATGACACCGTGGGTTTCAGTGCCTGTCGAGCATTCCTGTGGAGCTTGCACAACTCGACGATGAGGATCTAGGTCCGAGTGGGTCACGTGACCGGCGCCGGATGCGGGCGTCTCCTGCCTCGCCTCAACTCTTCTTCGCCTCTTCCTTTTTTTTTTTTTTTTTTTTTTTTTTGCCCTTTCATCTCTCGACGCATCGGGGAGACTCTTCTCGGTGGGTCACTTCCGAAAGCAGAAATGACAGCTGAAAGCCAGCATGCGAATTCCGTTCATCGATCCCATCGACGCTGTCTGCTACGGGTTATGGCGGGAGACAATATCGATGGATAACTGTCCATTCTATGGCGGAATCATCACCCGATCTGTAGTCAAGACAACGTTATGAACCGAACAACCAATTCAATTATCCTGAAAGTAGCAGACGCTGCATTGCCACCGTCTTCGCCGATCAAATGACGGGATGGTTATGGCACGGGAGGCGGTCCCGTTGGGTTTACTCTTACCCCGGATTGAAATCAACGATCCATAGATCCAGATACATCAAGGTCGTGGGATTCTCGAATTGCTGAGGAGCTTAAACTGAACTCTGCGCTCGTCAGGGTGATCTCATTCTACAATGCAACCTCGCTAGTGTGAATTGGGTCAAGCTCGTGGTGGCTGCCTCGACGATTGTGGGAAAGGAGAGAATCAGAGAAAGAGAGACAAACCGACAGAAAGACACCACTGCATTGTTCCATTGTGTCCATTGTTCCCCGCAGGTCTTGTTCTCCCACGTTGCTTCTGTTTTCGGCGCGGCTACGTCGATGCTTCGTCGGGTGGTTGCCCAAATTGATAATCGACGCCTCTGAAAGCAGCCTGTTTCGTGCTTCTCCTGCATCCGGCCAATTTGATCCCAGTAGGCGCATACTTCACTACTTATACGGCGGTGATTTCCATTCTATTAGACGCATAATTTTGTCAACATCATTCTTCATTCTCCAGCCTCCAGGTTATTCCCTTTGAGCTACTTGTGTTTTCGGAATGCTGTCCAAAATCTCGCTCAAGGCACTTGCGCTGTCTTTGCTAGCAGTCAGTGCACAGGCTGGCCGAGTGTAAGTTTTCCTACAGGAAATGGAAATCCTACCATGCCTATCACACGCTGACTGTTTCTCAAGTCGCTTGCAATCCCGCGCTCCCTCCTTCGACTTCCATGCTGACAAGGTGCGCGGTGTCAACCTCGGAGGTTGGCTCGTGTTGGAACCCTGGATTACACCTTCAATCTTTGATGCGGCCGGTGATGCTGCCGTTGACGAATGGACCTTGACCGAAGTCCTTGGCAAGGATGAGGCCAAGGCTCGGCTTTCGGAGCACTGGGGCTCTTTCGTTTCACAGGACGATTTTGCGCGCATGGCTGCAGCGGGACTGAACCATGTTCGAATTCCCATCGGATATTGGGCCGTGGCGCCAATCGATGGAGAACCGTTTGTCGACGGTCAGTTGGAATATCTCGACAACGCAATCTCTTGGGCCAGAGCTACTGGTCTGAAAGTCTTGGTTGATCTGCATGGAGGTTAGTATATCAATTCCGGGGCGGATAAAACACCCTAGGAAGCTGTTCTGAGGCACCGTAACGTTGCTAACAACGGGACCAGCAACGGGCTCCCAAAATGGCTTTGACAACAGCGGACGTAAAGGTCCTATCAATTGGCAGCAAGGAGACAATGTTCAAAAGACCCTTGAGGCCATCGACATCTTGGCCGAACGTTATGCCCCGGAGGATGATGTTGTGAGCTCTATCGAAGCCATCAACGAGCCCAACGTGCCCGGCGGTGTGGACGAGGCCGGCTTAAAGGATTACTATGACGAAGTGTTTGACAAAGTCCGCGAGTACAACGCGAACACCGTAGTGGTCTTTGGCGATGGTTTCCTGCCCGTGGAAAGCTGGAATGACTTCGGCGTTGGCGACGAAAACACGGCAATTGACTCCCACCACTACCACATGTTCGACCTCGGGCTCCTAGCTCAAGATATCAACGGCCACATCAACAGCATTTGTCAATATGCGCACCAGCACCTGCTTGCGTCTAACCGGGCTGTTTTTGTGGGGGAGTGGACCGGCGCTCTGACTGACTGCACCAAGTACCTCAACGGAAAGGGTGTTCTCACTCGATACGACGGCACCTTTGCCTCGGACACCAAGCTGGGTGACTGCTCCAATAAGTATCAGGGCTCTGTGGCGGATCTTCCCGCGGAGGATCAGGAAAACATCCGACGCTTTATCGAGGCCCAACTGGACGCCTACGAGCTCAAGTCGGGCTGGCTGTTCTGGACCTGGAAGACCGAAGGCGCACCCGGATGGGACATGTCGGATCTGCTTGAGCACGGAGTTTTCCCTGAGCCTCTCACGGACAGAAAATACCCGAAGCAGTGTGCCTAAGCATTGGGCGTGCTTTGGAACGTACTTGTGACGACTCGTAATCCTTCTCTTCGTTCCTTTTCTCACTTCTTCCCATACGTCATATAATCCCTTTTCGTCTTCTATTTCCTTCTTCTTCTGTTCTTACTGATGAGCAATCGGCTTGTCTTTTTATCAGCAACAGTCTTTAGTTCCTAATCATTATCATTCATACCGAAAGCATAGTTCGTAGCATGGGACATTTCGTATCGCAATATTCGGGATAAATCGTTAATACTAGCAACTTGAGACTCAATACTCAAGGCGTACGTGATCGATATTACAAAGGTATCGGTATCGAGGGGAGAAAAAGACGCGGAGTGATGTAAATAAAAAGTTAAATCGTGTCTGAGGGGGTATCTAAGAGATATGTATCTGAAATTATTGAATAAAAAGAGGGGGAAAGAAACAGAAAAAGAGAAATAGAGAGAAATCAGAGGGAAGAAAACGGGAAGACAACAATGGCACCCGCCTCTACACATGATTCCGCCACGCATCCCAATTCCCCGAGGCCAGAAGCTGGGCCCACTGCGCATCATTGAACGACTCCATCCCTCCGGTCGTCATCTGCGTTACGTCGGGGGCGCTTGGATCCTGGGTGGGCGCAAAATCCCACGCCGAGGGCATGGGCATCGAGCCCTCCGATCCGGTTGAGTCGAGGGGCGTCACGATCCCCGTCGCCGGGTATCCTCCTCGGCCTTGATACGCCATGTTGATGTACGGACCAGACGCCATGTCCATGTCTTCGATGGATGACGGCGCCATCGAAGTGCTTGGTTCCAGTGGATGGGTGGTACTGGAAGGGCGGGGATGTGGGTGTTGTTGGTGTTGGTGTTGATGCGGGTGCGGATGCTGCTGGCGCTGGTGCTGTGGGCCATTCTGCATAGCTGCGAGTTGAGGGTGCCCGTTCAGAGAGGGGTGGTTTATCGTCACTCCTGGGTCTTCGGGAATGGTGGCGTTGCTGTTGTTGTGCGTGGTGGAGGTGCTGTTTGTGCTGGCGTCGGTGAACTCGGGCGATAGCTCCATGCCGAGGGGTGTGTCTCTTGGGGCGCCTCGTCCGCCTCCGCAGATGCCCGTCGGGGCAATGTTATTCACTGCCGGCGGGATATACATGTCATTAGGGATGGGGCAAGAAGAGAGGGAAGCGGGGTTGAAGGGAGGGGGGCGTTGTTTTTGTCGACTGGGCAGGTTTGAGGGCGGACGGGCGGAGGCTTGACGGGAGTTGTTTGAGGAGGATGGCGAATCTCCTTCTTCGGGGGCAGGCGTCGCCCGTGAATTGGGGCAGATGGATCTTAGAGGTTGGGTGTCTGGTGCGGTTTCTTCGTCTGAGTGCTGGATTTTGGGCTCATTGTTAGTTTATTTAGATAAAAAGAAAAAATGAAACAAACCAAAAGAGTGGTGGGCTCGTTTGGTAGGAGACATGAGGCGCTTACCGTACGACTCGGTGCGCGGCGAATATTTTTCGATGGTCGAGGTCGGATGTCATCAATCGCGGTGCCCTCGATGTCGACGTCCAGCTGGACCAGGAAGGACTCGGTTAAGGGGTTCTTCTGCTTCAGTGCGCCTAGAGCGGAGAAGAGGAATTGTAGAGAGGATCGGGCGGCAGAGTCATCGGAACGAGACTTGAGGTATTGTATAAACACTCGCGCTGCGATATAGACGCAGAATGCCATGAATGGATTCATCTAGGATCGATTAGCTGGGTGGCTGGTCGTCATTTGATCACACCGAAAATGAGCCAGCTTACAATTGTCAAATCCATGTGGCTGATCATCTTCATGATGTTGGAGATTTGGTCCGCGGCAACTATGCACCTGCGTTTACTCTCGGTGGCGATTTGTTCGGAAATTTTGTTCTTCTCCGCCTTGAAGATGGCAGCCTGGTGAAGACATATCGTCGAGGTGTGGATCGCCATGTTACAGAAGATCACATTCGGATCAGCTACACCCGCGGGCAGGCGAAGATGATTTGGCATTGCCAGAGCAAAATGGAGCAGAATGTTATCGTGAGACCGATGTCGCTGCCAGAACAGCCCGTTCAGATCATGCTCGTTGTCATGTGAATCGGGACGATGCAGATGGGTGAGATTTCGGCCAAAGAGGTATGCCATGAAAACAACGCTCCCGAACGGCGAAAGCGTGGGGATACAATCGCCACTCGCTATGTCGCTGACGCTTGCAGTCTGCTGCGGCTGGCCTTTAACAAAAGCTTCTTCGCTGGCGGGTAGATTGGTCGTGATCTATGGGTTATTTGGTTAATGCATTCCTGTGGGGAGTGGGAAATAAAGGTGAAGGGAACCAACTCACATCTCGGTCATCAAATAATATAGGCCATCCAGTTCCGACGCTGGCGTACCTGTCAACGCAGTACGTCATCCAAAAGACCCGTCGTCGCTCCTCCTTTTCCGTCCAATCCCTGGCCGCCGGGAGTGACTGTTTCATGCCGTGACCGAGGCCATCTATCCGGTTCAAACCCAGCATGAGTGACAATCGCGAGGCTTTCCCAACGCTGAGCCAAGCTCGGGGGAAGCACATCATTCTAAACTCGTAGGTACCGATAAGTAGCCATGTCTGACAGCATGCCAAGGACAAGACACCCTCTCCAAGACCTTTCATCTCCTCCAATTCGGCGTATTTGCGGGCTCGCTGATAGAATAGCTCATGAAGGTTATGATACTTGTCACTGACTGATGCGGCATGACTCCAAGTGATGTATTGCAAACACACCGGGGGTCGAACATTTGGGGCCAGGTCCATGGCCGCCAAATGCCTCGGTCGGTGTAGAATGGGGAGCGCGGGGTGGATTTTCTCGAAATAGATTTGGTTTCTGTCATATCATGAGAAACCGATATTATTCTGAAGAGGTCAATCCGGACTTGAGACATACAGTTCATCAATAACTTCCCGGGCCGGGAGAGGCTCTTCCAGCCCCAGACTTATCATGTCCCATGCGAAGTTATGGGAATCGCGTATGGGCGGCGGTAGATACATTTGTCCCGGAAGAGGTTGATTCCCCGTCGCTTCAGGAGGCGAAATAGGTGCACTCGTGCTATTTGACAGAGAGGTCGACTCGGGTATGCCTGTCAGCTCATTCTGAGCCGGGGCGCTGAAGTCGTTCGTCTGGGGTGGAGGGGCGCCCCCTTCTTGGGTTCTGAGTAAGGTCTCGACCTGGGCTATTCAGATTGAACACAGCGCGGTCAGTATGCAATCATGCAACAGAGATCGAGATGAATGGAATTAACTCACCTAGCCGTGCCTCCAACTGCTTCACATAACCCCGTTTCGGACCACTTTTTTTTCGGACTTCATCGTAGGCGCATTCATGCCCCAATCGTGCGCAGGTTCCGCAGCTGGGTTTTTTGCCGTCGCATCTTAGTTTCCTCCTCCTGCAGACGACGCATGCGATGCGTTTCGGGCGGGGAACGTAGAACCCATCGACATCGCTGTGACCCGCCGCCGCATCGAGATTCATCGAAGTATCATGCTGGGGATGCAACGCAGAATTGTTATTGGAAGTTTGTTGCGACTGTTCGTCGTAGAATTCCGCCATGGTGTAAAGAAAAATATGGTCAAAAGGCAGGCGATCGCAGGTGATGAGACGTAATATTTCGAGGTGGGACCGGACGCTGGGTGGGAATGTAGTCTTGAGAGGCCTAGAGGTGCCAGACCTCGATCACGAGAAGAGTCAAATCGGCAGTCAACATTTGCCAAGAGGATACGAAAGGGACAAAGGCAGCACCCAAGCGTGGATGAAAGAGCACAGGGGTGGATGGACGATGAGAGAAGATGTCGGAAAGCGCATCGTATACGCTGATCGGCCGACGGTCGTCGGCAGCGCCACCGAAAACCCCAAGTCACGTTGACGGCCCAGACCCGTTTGGGTTTGCCGCCTTCATGATATTTCATCAGCCAGATCGAGTTCCTCCATCTAGAGTGACTACGCATCGTGCATTATTTCAGAGTGCCGGTGAGTATGACCTATATTCTAACCCCATATAATACAGTAACAACGCCACGGACGGACGGACGGAGAGAATGGAACCAAGACCAGAAAAGCAGAGCGGCAGGCTATTGACATGTAGGAGTCGCTCTCAGACAGACACACACTCTCTCATACTCAACAAGCCCCAAGACAATGAGAAACATCTTCTAGAAATAGTACAAGATAAGCTCACATTCCTCATCTCCGTGCACGTCTCAGGCTAAAACAAATGACAAGAAATCTTTGGAGAAGCATCGTGGCAAGCAAGAAGTATACAGATTAGGAATCGGACGCAGAGAAGAAAATGACACGAGAGAAAAGATGGCACTTGTGTCACCTTTAGCTGTAACCTCTGCGGCGCTTGCCCTGGTTGCGCACTCGGGGAACAACCACGTTCTTGTTGACCTTCCACTTCGGCCGCGTTTTCCAGCCAGATTTCGCCTGCGATGCCAGTTAGTAGACTGCCAGTAAAACTATTCGAGAACAAAGATACGTACCGGAAGACCCCAAGGGCTCTTCGGATCCACGTTACCCTTCGATTTACCACGTCCACCACCGTGAGGGTGGTCAGCTGCGTTCATCGCAAGACCACGGACGGTGGGGCGGATGTTCAGCCAGCGAGATCGTCCAGCCTTTCCGATCTGGGTATACTGGTAGTTCGGGTTGCTGGCAACTCCAACAGTCGCGCAGCAGTCCTTGTGGATTAGACGGACCTCACCACTCTGAAGTCGTAGCGTGATGTGCGTAGCAAGGCGCTCCTTCTTTTGCATCTCCCGCTGCGACACACGCACACGCTTGGTCTCGGTGCCCTCCTCTGGCGTCTCCTCCTGTGCCTGGTTGGGCGAGTTGGTACCCTTGGCGATCACCGTGGCGAAGGTACCCGCGCTTCGGCACAACTGGCCACCCTTGCCCGGCTTCAATCCGACATTGAAAATCGACGTACCGACGGGGATCATGTGCAACGGCAAGCAGTTGCCTCGCCACGCAGTTCGGGCGGCCAGCACACCGGGATCCACGGCACCGCCCATGCTGTCCCACAAATCTTGCGGGATACCCGACATGTAGCTCTGCACAACATCCCCGGCTCTCATACCCTCAGCAGCCAAAATATAGCTCAGCTGCTTGGTTTCTTGGCTGCGGACAAGGGCAATGTGAGCACTCCGTCCCGGGTCATGTTCGATGCGTTCCACCAGATGTGGTCCGGGGGCAGCCCGTCCGAAGTCCACCACTCGGATTCGGCGCTTGTGACCACCACCACGATGCCGAATCGTCACTCGTCCGGTGTTGTTACGACCACCTTTGGCATGGCCTCGTTTCGGGAATGTCAACTTCTGGACCGGGCGTCCCTTCCAGAGGTGATCGTTAACGGGCCTCCGCAAATGTCGGACACCGGGCGTGCGGGGGGTGTAGGTTCGGAGGAGCACACCGGTATTGTCACGGGTAGGCGGAGGGGCAAAGGCAATGCTAGGATCGAAGGTCGCACTCGGAGGTTCATCGGCGGAGGGTGCCTCTTTTTCCGTAATCACCGTCGAGTAGGCCCGAGACGAGACGGAGGACAAACATCTGAAGGGAAGACGAAGGCCGGTCAAGGCCAGGCGAGGTTGAAGCATGATGAATCAGTGAGATGCCGAAAGGATTCTGAGATCAATTGACCGGTGTCCGTTGTCCAGACACAGCGCAGCACACTGCAAGATCAAGGACGGAAGAATGCGAAAGGATACGGTCGTTTACTGCTGAATCATGCTGGACGAAACCAAACACAAGGGAATTGGGATATAGAGGTCGACTGAAGAGCAAACCAGATAGTCCCCCTATAGCACAACCGGCCCGATTGGAGAGGTGGTGTGGTCGAAATACGGCGGCGAATGTCTGCACCGACTTGGGACTTGGACGCTCTCCGAACGAAAATGTCTTTGGGTCTGCAGTCCGGCGGTGGCTCGTGCCCAGTCACATGACATGGGAACAACACCGCCACATGCTGACAATGTGGCGCAGGGGTCCAGGTCACGGGATGGCGCGACACGGCAACACGTCCCGGCGATACGCAAAAGCGTAAAAGGGCCGAGGCGTTGCGGGGGCAACGGCGCCGCTTCTGTGTTTTGGGCGACCGTGAAGCCACGCGCTTTCCTTCTCTCTCTCTCGGGCGCGACGGCGTCTCTCACCAACTCATCCTCAGGCATCCATTACCACCCCCTCTCTTTCCCGTGACAGTACCGATACTTTCTCTCTCCCGCACTTTAGCAGGGAGTTCCGGTGCTCTGTATGTACTGATACCTTCCCCCTTGGTGATTCCCGTATCTTCCCTTCTTTCCCCCCTTTCCTTTCCTCTTCTCAGCCTCCTCTTCCCTTTTCTCCTTCCACCTTCTCGGCCGCTGCGTTCCTCTCCACCACCCCATTTTATCAGAGTACATAATCTTAATCACGAACTGTCCATATCTGCCCTGTTTCTTGTTGCTGTGTCTTGCAGATACATCACATCATCGGTGTACAGCCGTTAATAATCCGCGAATCCACGCGCCTTGACCGGAGTTGTGCTGTGGGGCATCATTTTCCAGCTTGGCTAAATTTCCACGCTAAGACTAGGGCCAAACATCGCCTTTGCCCTGTCAAGTTTACACCTTTCCCTCCACCCAACCTCCATCATCAATCCTCTGTTTCCTCCAGGCCAGCCCGCCCTTTTCCCCCCCAGATTCACCACCTCATCCATCCTCAACCGGCTGTATCTCGCGTGTTTTTGTTTATACTCATCGATCGACACGTGCAGCATTACTTTCTGTACAAAATTTTCTATTACAGCGGTGACTCGCGCGCCCGGAAACTTACGTGATTCGGGTCTTTTCACGGTCCGGCCTTCAACGTCAACAAACTCATATATGCCCTTATTTTAAAGCCTCTCCACCCCAGATTCCTGTGAAATACCGGCCATTCCTGCCTCGGCAACCTTGCATAGTCATAGTACCTTGTTTGGGGTTGGACAAGAATTCACGCGTGGTACGTGCATCGTCACTTTCCTGGCCTTTAGGTATTTTGGACTCCACTGGAGTAATTTCCTGTGGAATGCTGACAAGACGGCGAGCACAGTAACTCTAGTGTCCTCTTTTATCTCTTCCTTTCCACCTATCCCTTTTACCCTTCTTTTAATATCATGCCTCCGGTAAGCCGTTCTTGACTCTGGGGAGAAAATCAGACGCGTCAGACTTCGGACGACTCCGTCCGTTCCTGTCGACCCGACGGCCGTTGAATTAACAAGTAAGCAGGCTCGGAGTCTTCGTACGCGGGGTACGATGAACGAGAACGACGAGAACGGGCCCCAAACGCGTCTGACGCGGGCCAAGGCCGCTGCCATGTCGGCAGGAGATGCCCCGGCTGCCAACGCCACGAAGAAACCCCTTCAGACCAAGAAAGCTGCCACCTCCACGACCGGCGGAGTCCCCAGAAAACGCGCTGCCCTCGGCGATGTGAGCAATGTCAACAAGGCCGACAGTGGTGAGACCAAGGAAGCGAAGAAGCCCGCCGGCAGCAAGGTCGGATTGACGTCGAAGGCCGGCGGCGTTCAGAAACTCAGTCGCACCAACACCACCCGTACTGCCATGGGCGCCAAGGACGCGAACTCCAAGAAGCCTGCCGTCGACGCGAAACGCCCGGGTAGCGGATCAGGAATCGGTAGCGCACAGAAGAAGCGGCCGGCCAGCGAAAAGTCGATACCGGAGAAGGCCCTGCAGCAGGAAGAACCCCCACGCAAGAGAGTCGATGTCGAGAAGCTCGAGGCCAAGAAGGCCGCCCCGGAGAAGGCATCGACTGTGAAGGGAAAGGTCCAGGTCACCGACGAGGTCGTGGAGAAGACCGACGCGAACTACGAAGTGGAGGACCTGGACGAGGAAGACCGCGACGACCCTTTGATGGCAGCCGAGTACGTTGTCGAGATTTTCGAATACATGAGACAGCTCGAACTGGAAACGCTACCCAACCCCGACTACATCGAGCACCAGCCTGATCTCGAGTGGAAGATGCGCGGCATTCTCGTCGACTGGCTCATCGAGGTTCACACGCGTTTCCGTCTTCTGCCCGAAACTCTCTTCCTCGCCGTCAACCTCATCGATCGGTTCCTGTCGGCCGAGGTTGTGGCCCTGGATCGCCTGCAGCTAGTCGGTGTGGCTGCCATGTTCATCGCTTCCAAGTATGAGGAAGTCCTCTCACCTCACGTTGCCAACTTCAGCCACGTCGCCGACGAGACCTTCACGGACAAGGAGATCCTCGATGCCGAACGTCACATCTTGGCCACCCTCGAATACAACATGAGCTTTCCCAACCCGATGAACTTCCTACGTCGCATCTCGAAGGCCGACAACTACGACATCCAGACGCGTACTCTTGGCAAATATCTGATGGAGATCAGCCTTCTGGACCACCGTTTCATGCAGTACCCTCAGAGTCACGTGTCGGCGGCTGCTATGTACCTCGCTCGTCTGATCCTGGAGCGCGGCCCTTGGGTAAGTCTTTCGTGCTGCTGTGTTCCGATTATGGACGTTTGATGATCTAACATTTTTGCTTTAGGACCCCACTCTCGCTCACTATGCTGGATACGATGAAGAAGAAATCGAGCCCGTCTTCCACCTAATGATCGATTACCTCCACCGTCCAGTCTGCCACGAAGCCTTCTTCAAGAAGTACGCCAGCAAGAAGTTCCTCAAGGGTAAGTGCCGGCTGCTCAGACTTTTATACCTCTTTTCCCGCTAACTGCTGTGCTGCAGCTTCTATCCTTACGCGGCAATGGGCCAAGAAGTACCATCACCACTATATCGACAGCTCCCTCTCCGAACCTTACAACTACATCAAGGATCATGAGTAAATGGTCACGACTCGGTTTTTGACGGCAATCTGCCCAAGACGGCGTCCGTGGCAAGGTTACTCAGAAGGAGTTGATTGATTCCATATGTTGGCATTTCTTCGTTTGTGATGGTATAAGGCACACCTCTTGCATATGTTTACGACGGCATTTTTCCATTTCAGTTGCGGACGTTGGCATTGTTCAATTCTTCTAGGGGCGTCAAGGCGCGCTTCTCATGTTCTTTCGTGATTTTTCATTTGCTTTCCCTTCTCGTTTTTATTCTCGTTTACCTTTTTTCCTCTTCTTTTTGGTAATGTCCGGACTGCATTACATCTTTTTCTTCTCTCCAATTTCTTGTTCTCTGTTCTTACTTCAGGCGTCGGATTCTCCATGGTCGGAAATTCTATTTGCAGTTCTCATTTTTGGCTTTTCACTCTGCTTCTACGAAACACATTTCTCGACCCAAGGGGGTTGCTTCTGATTGCGTTTCGTTTCCCATACTCACGACCAACTCCACGCTGTTCCATGTCTGGGATCATGGCTTCTGGAGTAAAAGATGTCGCACAGCCTGTTTCTTAATGACCCATGATGCTTGAAAGCGTGTTGAGGATGATAACTCGCCGGCCAGCGGGTTATCAATGTTCGGATTAGTCTACTAGCAAGGATAGAGCGAAAGGCTTATTGTAATGTGCTTTTTAGGGAGATTAATTTACCACTGAGACTTTTCAGCCTGTTCTGTTCTGACTGCTTGACCGGACTTGTGTGTAGTTCTCGAGGTGTCGCGGTGTCAGCTGAGCCGAGGTTACGCCCGGTGTACTTCCCGGCCCAACTCTCCATACTTTTCCCTCTTTGCATTCTCTCTCCCAGAACAACAGTCATGGCCTCCCACGAATCTGCCTGTCCTTTTTGTAGCATCGCAAACGCGTATCCCCCTATGGCACTCTCCGCCTTCCTCAATCAATCCCATCCAACATCCCCGGCTCCATCACCCTTACCCTCAAACCCAGAGCCCCAAGCGCATCTCATCCTATCTACTAAACATGTCCTTGCATTCCTCGACATCATGCCTCTCACAAAAGGTCACATCCTTGTCGTACCGAGAGAACACCATGTGAAATTAGCAGACGTGGGTGTCAGAGTTAGTCGAGCAGTATGTTCTATTATATATCTTTCTCCCCCTCGCGGTTCTCTCTCTCTCTTTTTTTCTTTTTTTTTGTTTGGGGGGGGGGGGGGGGGGGGGGGGGGGGGGGGGGGGGGGGGGGGGGGGGGGGGGGGGGGGGGGGGGGGGGGG